TTTGTTGAAGACAGGGTTTAAATGTAAATCCTCCCCTAACAAGAATCTAAACATTAATTTATTAGATTGTGGGAAACAATTTTTTTTTATTTTCACTTTATTCGGTCCTGTTAGTAATTAATTATGGAAATAATTACATTTTAACGACAACTTTATTTTTTTTAATACCTTGTGAGTCCTAAATGATTTTCTCCCATGCAAAGGTCCCAAAAACCACCTGCAAGTACCAGTCAGCGTCATCATCAAGTGCTTAGCTCAGGCTTATTCATTCCTAAAGAAAAAAATTCATCTTCTGCCGAACACAGTTGAAAATAGACAAAAAGAAAGAAAACCCACTTCATACTAAACCAAACCACAGAGAGAGAGAGAGAGAGAGAGGAATCTCTCTGGTTGTTTGTGACAAGCTTTCCTCTTTCTTCTTCTTCCTTCTCCTGTTCTTTTCCTTTTCAATGCAATATGAGGAAAACCAAAAGCTCCACAAAGTTTCGTTTCTTCCTGTGATTGAACTCCAGAAATATCAGTCGCAGTTTTCGATTCTAGCTTCTCTTTGAATATGGTTCAAAGGAAGGTACCCTGCAAGCTTGGTATCCAAGCTGATCATCATGTTAAATCTGATAAGCGCTTGGCAAAAAACTTGAACCAAGATGGGAAAACCAGAGGAGGAGCTGATATGAAGAAGAAAATGAAGAAGTCAAGGTCTATTAGGCTTTCTGATATGGAGATTCTCAGATCATCACCACCTTCAAAGAAGAGCTTCTCTCAACCAGTAAAGCCTTCTTCTTTTGTTCAAGTTTCTCATTCTGTATCATCGTCTTCTCCACAGAAGCTGACACCTTTGATCAGAACAAGTGATGGGTCACCCAATTACATGAAGCCCACAAGCAGTTCAGATGCAAAGAAGGAGCTTTTCCCATTGAGTCTTCGAAACTCCAAATCTAACTCAAAGTCTAGCTCTAGCTCTGTTTCTGCTAATAAGCCTGCAAAAACTTTGGCAAAGTCATCACCTAGTTTGAGGCTTGTGAGAACCTTAACGAAGACTCCAAGTTTCAAGAAATCCTCTAGAGTTTCTCTTTGTGCTGATATGAATGCTCAGAGAGGTACCTGTTCTTCAACTTTGAAGGACTCAAAGTTTCCTCCTTACCTGATGCTTAACCCTGGGGCCACTGAGTCTGAAGGCACTTCAGTTATGAGGGTTTGCCCATACACCTATTGTTCTCTGAATGGTCATCGTCATGCTCCTTTGCCTCCATTGAAGAGCTTCTTGTCTGCAAGGAGACGTAATTTGAAGACTCAGAAGAGTATGAAGCTGGAAGCTCTTAGCCCTCGGAGGTTGAAGGTACCCTGCGAGCCAAAGAAGGAATCTGATACTTATGTGGATTTCTTCATTGAAATCTATGCTAAGAAAAATGGGGGTGAAGAAGAAATCAGATGCATGGGCTCCGCCAGAAGATTTGAGGATGAAGAAAACATCAAATCTACAATGGAGGAGAATAACTTGAAGGCACAAGGAGATGATGTTATGAAGCAAGTTGATGCAAGCCTGTCTGATGGATCTCCAAAGTCTGAGATAGATTCGGAAGAGGATTATGGAAAGTGCTTTGATGATGCTAAGATTGAAGCAGATTTGAAGGGGAGCTTTCTTCAAGAACAAGAAGCCGAATTTGCAGATGAAAAGCCCTTATCTATCGGGTCTGGTGAAGAAATAAGCATTGAAAGCTGCTGCAGTGAGGTTAGCTATGAAGGAGAAATGGGTGATTCTAATTCTGAAGCTTCCGATATGGAGTGGGAGCATGAAAAGGATGATGTTGATTCTTCTGTTCTCACAGAGGAGAATGATTCAAAAGTTGAATCTTTATCTGAGAGTTCAAATGATGTTTCTGTGGTGTGGTTAGATGGCATCATTAACATCTATTATGAGGATATTGTTGCTGAAGTTTCCCAAGAATCTAACACCAAAGAAAGGTTCTGTATTGAATCACAACATCATGGGATCAATTGTGATTTGGAAGGGACGCATGAAAGCTTGGAGACTCAAGAACCTAGTAAGTCACAAGAACAAGTGAATTGTGAGCAATCTTTTTTGGCTAAGAAACTGTGTGAGGAATTGACAGACACAGAAGGAAACTGTGGAGGAAATGAAACAGTCATGGATGCCACAGTGTTCTCTTCAAATTTCACTGACGGGAAGACATTTGAAGAACTAGAAGAAATCGACGAGGAGAATCAGGACAAAAATGATGTTTCTAAGGCAGAGAATTCAACGAACAAGACATTACTGGAACTGGATAACGATGAGGCAGATCACATCGCTACAGTAGATAACAGTACCTTGGATGAAAAGGAAAATATGTCTCTCCAACAAGATGATTCAAGTATGTCAGAGGCTGACCAAATTTCAGGTGCTTTCAAGGAATGTTATGAATTAAATCAGCTTGTGACTGAGGAAGATGGTCCTGAGAATCATTTTACCCCAGAGGAAGAACCACTTGTAGCTGAGACTAATAATAAAATGGAAGAGAAGGATAATGCCGATTTCAAGGAAGAAATGGTTGAAAGTTTTATTTCTGGTGCCTCTCAGGATTGTCATGAAGCTTCCGAGGGTGATAGTAGCCAAGTTGATAAGGCGAGTGAACCTTGTGAGGCTGATAAGGTCAGTGAAGAAGAGAAGAATTCAAGCCAAGATATTAGTGAAGAAGAGAAGTTAGAGAGCCCAAGCAGCATTGGTGGTGAAGAACAGAGCCCGTGCAGGAAATGGATAGGGTCTGAAAGGCGCAAGAGAGGGGTTCAAGACGAGGATGAAATGAGGAAGATCAACCCCCGGGAGCCAAATTTCCTCCCTTTGGTTCCAGATCCAGAAGGAGAAAAGGTTGATCTGAAGCATCAGATGATGGATGAGAGAAAAAATGCAGAGGAATGGATGCTTGATTATGCACTGAGACAAACTGTCACAAAGCTTGCTCCTGCTAGGAAGAGGAAGGTGGCACTGCTAGTGGAAGCTTTTGAATCCGTAATCCCAATGCCCAAATGTGAAACTCGCATGAGAAACAAGTCATCCTTTGCACATCCATGGCCTATTCAAGCTTGTAGCTGAGGTAAAACATTGAACTTCTCTCACTTTTCTCGTACTTTTCCTTTATCAAGAAGACCTATTTTGGCTGCAGTATCTGAAGCCATGTTTCAGAATAATAATTTATGGAATAGTAAACTGATAATGACATAATACAAGACAGACCCAGTAAACCAGAAATTTACTTTTTCTTTGTTAGAGTGCTGGTGAAAATTGGAGGTAAGAAACTTGGACTATCATCCTCATGAGAAGCAGAGGTAGCAGAATAGTAAGATCACCAGGAGAAAGCCATTTTCTAGGGAGCAATCTGCAATGACATTATAACAATTAACTTCTTGTGAAACTCTTCTCTGTAACATGGAGGCAAAGAAAGAAGCTTCAAGCAATAAGGGAATTAGGGTTCCACAATGGAAACCGTAACCCCTAAAGGAATTTTGTGGTTCTTACTTCTTCTTGCTAAACTCTGTGGGTCTCAATGTTGTTTACTATCCGTAGCTGTGTTTGATACACTAATATTATGTTTGCTAAAAGAGTTTTTTTATGTCTGTGGAGTGTTTTAATCTATTGTACTTGTTTGTATTATGCAGAAGCGGAACTGATTATGTATGTTACGTTATTTCATTTATTCATTTGCGTTGACATTTACAGTCATGGAAATGCAACCTGAGAAGTAAATTTGTCTGGATGTTGTAAAATTTAGAAAAACTCTAGTAAATGGTTATGTTAAATAATCAGTTCCTACATAGAATGATTAATATCAATACAAAATATAAGTTTAGAGAGGTGTAATATTCACAAATTATGAATATTGTGTCATATTTTAAGCTCCATGCAAATGCTTGAATTCTGACTTCTCCAATTTTTAAAGTTCAAACGTCTATGGTATTTTTTCACTTGTATTATATCATTAGGAATAGTATCAAATATTGAGAACCATATTGTTAGCAAAACCATCTTGCTGTGTTCGTTCTGCCCCGCATTTTCAAGTGCTGTAAGTTGGGGGGGAAAACCTTTACAATTATCATAATAATGAGCATTTCTGTGTACTGGAAATTTACAAGGTTTTACAATCAGGCAGATAATATAAACTTTAGTGTATGCACATCAGTTACAGGAGCTCATGAATTAGTTCTTGAATATCTTAAGCATGATTAAGTTTCTAAATCAGAATTAACTAAAATTAGCTTGAGTCATAGGAGGTTTCGTAACTTAAAACAAGTAATTAAGGATTTAAACTCCAACCCTGAAGCACTTTGAAACTTGATCCTATTTGCTCATTATGTCCCTTTTACAGCTCATTCTTCCTTCATCATATTACATCAATACTCATCAATCTAGGAATCCAGACGGTCCAAATTTAATTTTATTTAATTGGTATGTTGTAAATAAAATCTTATTTTATTAGACATAAAATAAAAAATAATCTTGAAATTATCATTTTCTTTAGAAAAATAAATTATCATTCTAAAAAGTTGCATATTAAAAGGGATTCCAAAAAACTACCCGTGTCCAACAGAGGACATTAAAAATCAGCACATCCCAAATTATTTTATAAAGTAATCAATCTGTGTATGTATATTAAAAATAAGAACATTGTTCTTATTGTGTAAATAATTTCCGAGATAAATCTATAGAATAAACTCCAACACAAATTCAACGAATCTAAAACCTACAATAATGATTTAACCTTTTATAGACAAATCATCTGCTTCAAAAAGAAAGGGTCCTCCACAAACCAAACGTATCCAAACGGACAAGCCTAAAATGAAAGACAGGAACAATAACTTCGCTGGGAAAAAATGCATTCAAATTCAATTTGGTGCTTTAAACCGCAAAACAAAAGCTCCATATAACAGATTAATAAAGTGAAATATATCATATGAGAATACAAGTCTCAAACTCCTCTATCTAATTCTCAGAAAAAAAGTTAAAAAAAAAAAAGGTGACTCAGCGCTTCCCGCCGCCGCCGCCAAGTTTAGGACCTCTGGGGGCAGCACCCTTGGGGGCATTTCCTTTTCCTTGTGCTTTCTGTGCCTTGGCCATCACTTCAGCCTTCTTAGCCTTCTTCTCATCCTTTGTTTTCTTGATCCTCTCCTTAATCTCACTGCATCATGCATTCAGATAATCACATGATATATGGTAACATAACATAACTTCATGCCATCCAACATGAGATAACAATAGAAGAGTCTCATAGTAATACACACCGAAGGGCGGCTTCTCTAGCTGCATCTCTGACTTCGGGCTTCTCCGTTCTTTTTTTCTGTATAACTTCCAGGGTGGCCCCAACAATGGACCTAGAGTAAGGCTTTTTGGTCGTGCGCCGCCTCTTCTTGACAGCTTCTTGGGCAATGTCCTGCAGACACCGCATACACAATCACGCATTTGATCAATGAGAGATCAACGGAATTTCAAACAGTTTCACTAACATCCTGTTACTATGTGCTAATTTTAACTTCTCAGTTCTCAGTGCAGCAACCCATCCAGCACAAAAAAGGTGTCTGCCACCAATGTTGAAACCCAAGCTAATTTACAGACAAGTTTAAATTAATTTGGGCCATATAATGGCTAGTATCAGTTGAGGTTGACTATAACTAACAGCAATCTTTTTTTTTTTTTGGGTTTCTCACAGGTATCTTCATATTGGAAACAATCCCATTCAAGGCACTGTCGAGTACTAAATGTAAGTACCTCTCCTAATGAGTATCTGAACTTGGTTTACCACATTACAAGGAACTAGCCCCTTTTAGACAAGTTTAATTTCAAATTTATATAATTCTGTATTGCCACCACAAGCCAAGAGCCACCTATGTTGAAACCCAGGCTAATTTACAACAAGTTTAATTTAATTGGGGCCTTATAATAGATAGTATCAGTTAAGGTTCACTAAAACTATAGTAATTTTGATAATAACAATACCTTCTTGTGTTGCTTCCTGTACATGGCAGTCCAGGTGAGCTTTGATGGCTTCAATCTGTTGTGGAAGTACCTCTTGCATTTTGAGTTGGCAAACAAGAAGACCTGATAAAAACATAAAATGAACCCATTTAGCACCTAATGGATCATCATATCATCTCTGAAAAAAGGAAGATTGATCCAATTGAAGTCACCTGAGAATCAGCACGAACAAATCTAATGCCTTTGCCGGGGTAGATCTTACCCCCACTGAATCGGCATAGTTCAGTCCTGATATACCCATATCAAAAACCAGTTACCACATTTGTCAAGAGGCAATTATTTTGGAAAAAACACAAGATTGCTTGCTTTTGTTATGATCGGAAAAAAGTCCGACTTGCTTGCAAAGAAGTCCCAATTAGTCGAAGGATGTCTCAAGTGCTAGCAAAACATAACTATATAGCCACTAGGTGTCCAATTTCAGCTTCTATACGGCCAGCAATATTGGTATAATGCAGAATAATCATATCAAACAAAAGATTTTGGGGATCAGAATATGCAGAAACCAACAACTTTGAAGGCAGGAAAAACTAATAAGCCCAGACAAAGCAATTCCTCGGTAGAGAATAGCAGAAAAATCATGGTCCAAAATCCCAGAAAGCTGACAAAATACAAAAGCCACATTCACATTCATTCAAACTCGTCGAAACGTTTATATGATTACAGAACCATTCAGTCTTAAATAAAAAAACATTATGAGTAGATTTCAGCAAAGCAGGGTGGTTATGCATTCACAAATAAAACCCATCATTCACCAATCCACGTTCCTAAATTGCAACTGCGAAGCATGGATCTAAGCGAGTTGTTAGCCATACCGTAAACGAAGAGGAAGGTTTCAAATTGATGGCGCAGAAGAAAAAAACGAAGTTTAAAATCACAGTACACATGCAAAGCAGAGATGAAAGTAGAAAAGGAAGAAGAACGCACTTCAGCACCATGTCGACGGCGGCTGCAACGCTGGCTTCCTGCTGTGGAAACTGAAAACCCAAAAAGCGCCCATGCCTTGGTGCATATTTATCGCATGACTCTAATAATAATATTATTATTAAACAAAATATCGAATACTTAATTTTGTATACTTTGACCGAAAAAAATAATCTTATATACTTGATATATTTTTATCTAATTAAATCTAAACATATAAATTTTAATGTAACAAAAATTTATCATAAAATAAATTATTTATAAAAGATATACATATTGTTTATTGAAAACAAGCATCTTACATATATAAAGTTGAATACATAGTTTTATTTCTTATTTATTATCATATCATCATTAAATGAAATTATCCCAAATTTGTAACATTTTATAGTGAAAAGTGTTAAAAATTTCATTATGACATGAACTAATAGGAATAGAAATACTTTTAATTTTAATTTTTTTATAAAATTACCACTCGGCTTTCTTTGATAACAGATAATATTATCACTTTATCCATAACTTTATTTATTATTATAAAACTATAATTTCGATTTCTTTATCAAGAATATTTATTTTAGATCTTTTGTTTTATATATATATATATATATTGGCATTTAATTTTTTGCCCTGAAATCCCAGCAAACAGAGTTAAGCTCCATAATCACTCCTCATTATTCAGAATCAGCCTCACAATACAACATCAAATCATCCGCAAACAATAAATTAACATAGTTTGTTCATAGCAACGAATTAACTGCATCAAATTATAGGATCGTTTGTTTAAAATTAAAAAATAAATAATTTTTGAGTAATCTTAAAAATTTTATAAAAAAGATTTATTTTGTAAGCATTTTATAAAAAACAAACATTATTTTATGTTTAGTTATAATAATAAAAAAGTAATTATTAATTAATTATTTTTAAATTTTATGATATATTTGCATGTTTTGCCTCTTTAAAACTCTCACTCTCATCTACTGTATTATATTATTTTTAGAGTAGCTTTTTAAACTAATCAAATATATATGTTTTTAGATTTTAATTATTTTTAAAAATTTTAACAAATATAATAAAAACTCACAAATATTTTTTAAAAAATAAGAAATTTTTTTATAAAATAAGCTAAAACAAACGAGTCAATACTCCAATCTCTTCCACAGTTTCATAAAAAATTGCCAGATCATATGATTATATATTTTTTCTAGATTGATTTTAATAACCAAGGAAATGTAAGCTATAATTTTATAGATAGAAGTTATGAAAAAGCCATAAAAGATGGTAAAAAAAAATTTAAATAGTGATTTCAAGCATTTTTCGTAACATAGATTTGGTGGTAACAATATTTTTTTTAAAAAAATTAAAAGCATGTCCACTAATTCAATTAATAGACGTCCCATATCTTTTGATAGAGGCCCATACTTATTTAGACGCAGTCCAATTGAGTTTATTGATTATTTTATGGGCTCGGTCCAAATAAACCTTCCGGTCCAATTATTTATTTGGACTTCATAGAATGCACCATGAAGGCAAGCCACCAAAGGGGTAAGGAATCAAAGCTTTCTACATTTTTTTTAAATGTAATTATTTTTGGCAACAAATTAAAACGTTTGTTTAATATTAAAAAATAAATTATTTTTACACAGTATAAACATTTATATAAAATATTTATTTTATAGAGATTTAAAAAGATATATATTATTTTATGTTTAGTTATAATAATAAAAAATTATTATTATTTAATTATTTTTTAGATCTTATTATATCTTCATGGATATTTATTTATAAAAAATAAATAATTATTTATTTATTTAAAAATTTCATAATATTTTCATGCATCTTTATATTTTTATGGTATTCTCTTTTATCTACGGCGTCACTCAACACAATAAGTAATATTTTTTAAATTTTAATTATTTTCAAAAATTTAATAGCAAAGCAACTGCTTATCCAATCACTCAGGAAAAATAAATTATTAAGTATGCGTGACTTTTCATTTTGTCGAGATAAATTTTTTGACACAGTCTTATATATTTTAGTTTATTTGTAATATACGCACACAGTCTTATATATTTAAATTATTTATTGTTAATTAAATAAATATATGTGAATCTTTTATAAATTATTTTTTCAAAACAAGTTAACAAACTCTTGATATTAATATTATTAACTTATTAAAATTTATTTATTTTGATTGAATTAGATGAAAGTATATTAAGTATATAAAATTAAATATTCTAGTCTTACCAAGGTACGTAAAACCAGACCAATTATTGAACCGGTCATGGTACTGGGTCACGGGTTAATGGTTCAACTAGGATTAAACCGGGGGTTGAATTGGTGGCAAACCGATCATGATTAAAATAATACAATTTAAATAAAAAGATATTAATTATAAAAACATTCAATCAAATACAATACTTCAAATATCTATCCTTACAATTACAACCTTTCTATCATATGATTAACATGTCCATGGTAACTAATATTCACCAACACCAAAGTCATCATTAACTTCATTCAAATCTTCGAGCATTGAGACATTAGGACTGGAATGAGAAAAACCAGAACCACTAGCAACATCAAGCAAAGATGGGGGCTCTAGAACATTCATATATTTATCACCTACAACAAACAAAAATTAATACTAATGAATGGCATTTCAAGAAATTCATATACTTGTATTAGACATGATAGTAGATTTAATATACCTTCATAATCCCTTTCAAGGGTTAATGGAGCAGCTATGGTTTCATTGTGAATGGCACTTTTAAGATTTGCAATTTCTTGAGAATCAAACTCAAAAGCTGGCTCTTCCTCTTCTTCAACCACTCAAAAGTCAATTTTGTCAATTAATTCATAATCAATGGTATCATAACTTTTATTTTTCCTTAATTGACTTATTGAAAAAAAAATAAAGCAATCAAATATGATAAACAATAATAAAACTCATATTCAATTATAAACTACAAAAGCATTGCCATTTAAAACTCTAATTCTTACATATGCTTCAATCGCAGATTATAATTTGTAAAAACCAAATCATTCAATCTTTGATGTTGTAATTTATTTCGTCTTTTGGTATGGATGCGTTCAAACAAACTCCAATTTCTTTTATAGCCAGAAGAAGAAGAAGTTTGGCTAAGAATATGCATTGCAAGAGTTTACAATTTTGGAACAGAACCTTTATAGAATGACCACTATTCATCTGCAAATAAAAGACATTTAGTTAGATGTTAATCATATGATAACTAGAATTACCATGGACATGTTAAATAATAAATATGAACACTCATAAGGATCTAATTTTTGGGGCTGCTCTTTGACATGAAATTTTGTCAAAAGATTCTTTACGATCACGATACAAGCTCAATTGCTTCATCATCACAATATAATCAATTTCTTCGCTTTCATTTGACTCAAACACATCAAGCATTTCATCCATTAACCTTCTCTTATGAATAAAATTCTCATCATACAAGAATGTAGGATTCAACAAATATGCTGCTACATAAAAATTTATCTTAAAGTGCTTATCCCATCGAGCTTGAATAATGCTTGTGTAAGGCTTGTAATAATCTTTCTTATTGTTGAATGTTGCCTTGATTTCTATTTTTGCCCTTTGCATGCCTTCATAAACATAAAACAAAGAAGGCTTCTCATCTGAATCCACAATTCTCAACAACTTTATAAGAGGAGACACAACCTTCACAATTTCCAAGCAATCACCCCAAAAGCCATTATCTAATATGATGGCAGAAACAATTACTTCAGCTTGAGTCTTTGACAATTTGTGATCCACAAAGTGCTTATCAGTCACCAAAGCTTGCAAGTCATGTTTATGCATATATATGCTATACAATGTGATAAATGTAGTAGCAAATTTTGTTATACCAGGACGTACAATTTCTTTCCAACCCAGTCTTTTCCTAAGCCATGACAAGAAGATCATATGATTATAAACAAAAATAGTTATCTTTGGTGCCTTAGTTGCAAGTGCTGACACATTGTCTAAGCTTGCTATATCTTTTAAAGTAAGGTTCAAACAATGAGCAGCATAAGGTGACCAATAAATATTTTTATATTTTTCCTTAATCAACTTACCACATGCTACATAATTTGCAGTATTATCAGTCACCGCATGAACAATGTTCTTGGGACCAACCCACTTAATCACTTCACAGAACAACGAGAACAAAGTCCTAGCATCTTTTACCAAATTTAAAGCATCAATAGATTTTACAAAAACCATTCCATATGTAGAATAGACTAAGAAATTAATCAAAGTTCGCTGCCTCACATCTGTCCGACCATCAGCCATGAGTGTACATCTAGTGTTTTTCCATTTAGCTCGATGATTCTCAATAAGTAATTAACATTCTTTTTTTCAATCTGTCAATAAAAGTGACTCTAAATTCATAAGCATTAGGGGCTTTGAACCCTTGCCCAATCGAAGTAATAGCATCTATGGCTTTTTGAAATGAAGGGCAATTTAATGCATTAAATGGAATGCAATTGATGATAGCCCATTCAGCAATAGCCATTTTTGCATTAAATTATGCTTCTTTTGTTGCAAACACACTCTTGATACCAGGTTGGGAACTAGGAGTTGTCCTAGGGGCAAAATAATTCTCAACTGAAACAATAGAAGCTTTCTTCTTATTGGAACCTCTCTCAGGGACTATTTTAATTGGAGTAGGAGCAATTAGATCATTAGTTTCAAGGTCCCTTATGTCTACTTGTTCTTGTTCTTTTCTATCATCAACCTTCCTTTTTCTCCTACCTTTCAAAGACTCTATCATCCTGTGACGTACATCATGAGGAACTTTTTTACAAGAAGCTACTTGACCACTCACACTAGCAAGATGTTGCTTCATTCTGTTAATCCTACCTCCTCCATAGCTTGATGCATAATAAAGGCAAGTATATATATTTTTCTTGCCTTTTTTTCTTAAGGCAACATGTGCCCAAGCAAGATCAGTTTTTCCACACATAGATGGGGCCTCAGATTTTGAGTCATTACCACTAGGAGGGGGATCATTGGAATTGGAGGTGAGTTCATTTCTATCACTACTAGGATTACTTTCAATATCCATGATCAATGCAATAATTATATTTTAACCTGTAAGCTAAAATAATGACTAAGCTTCAATTTCATTTTTCCACACAAATGTTGATTAGTCATATTCAATTATTCAGTGTTGATTGCATAGTTTTTAGGTTTGGCCACAAAAAAGAAGAAAAAAGAAGAAGCTAGATATGCCCTATAACATAGTGCAATCTATAGTTTAGAATTAAGATAGAAAATCACATCATTTTTAAAATGCATACACAGTACGAACCATTATCAGACTACTTGTAGTTTTTCAACACAAAATGATTCAAGAGCTTGTAGTTCTGAATACAAAGGCGCAACTACTTGCAGTTTTGTTTCTTTAAAGCTATGTTGTCGGAATTATAAGACCTTTTCTATTCATTTATCGAGAATTAAACTTGATTAAATCATTGTTAAGCTAAATCACTGTTAATCTAATCACTTAGGATCAAAATCCTTTATAGTCCAGTCGATTAAATCAAGTTGAATCAACAAAAAATCAGCTTAAGCCACCGAACAAGCACGAAACAAATCACGAGCAATAGAGTCGAGTACTTAAGCTGAATCATGAAACAAAAAACAAAGTCGAGCATGAGTAATGGTGACTAACCTGAAGCAAAGAGAATGTGAGCTGCTGAATTGAGCTGTTACGAACTGAGCAATTGAGATTTCAGATCGATTAGGCTAGAGAAGAGATGGAAGTCATACATTGAGCTGGAGGAAAGATTGAATAACAGAGATAGAGATAGAGCTGGAGAGGACGGATAGTCGGAGACAGGGAAAGGTGAGGAAGGAGGGTCGGAGAGTCGGATGCTGATTAGGTTAGGGCGAGAGAAAGGAGAGACATAGACGAAACTCATGAAAGGGAAAGGTGATGTTGTCTAGATCTAGAGTTTGGAGTTTGGACTGAAAGAAAATCGGTCAAGGCGATGCAATCCAAAAGAAAATTTAGGCTTCATTTTTCACCTTTTTTTTTGTTATTTTCGAACTCCACTAATAGCTTGCTTTGGATTTGGACCGAAAGAAAATAAAAAAAAACAAATCCCCTAAAATGACATCATTTTGGGGGTTTTGTCTGAAAAAATCATGATCCAGTTAACCCAGTCAACCCATCGAGTTATCCGGATTATACCGGGTTGACCGGGTTACCCCGGTTCATTTGCTCATCGATTTAAGAGCAAATCCAGACCGAACAAGGGATCGAGTCACCGGTTTTCGGGTTGACCTAGCTAGTCCGATTTGAGTTTCAATACCATGAGTCTTACACACACATGTATCAAATTTTTTAGGGGTGGGAATAGGTTTAACGCCTATAGTCTAGCCTATTTCAAGTTTAACTCAGCTTATTTACTTAATAAATTCATGCCATTTTAAGCTTTTACTTAATTAAGTTTATTTAGTTAAATAAATTAGGCCTATTTTTTTTAAGGCCTAGTCTTCAAACTCAACAAGCAGCTTATTTACACACACACACACACACACACACACACACACACAGAGTTTTATAAGATCGTCTGATTTTATCGATCTAAATAAAACAGGTTTTACATGAAGAAAATTTAGCTTAGCATGTTTTATTCGATACGGGTAAGAGAAGAACCTAACTCGATATTCTTAAAAAAATAGAGAAATTAGAACCAAGTCAAGATGATACAAATCAACCCCTCTTCTTGCACCAAAGATCTTACCATTTTTGAAATAACTGGAGTTACATCTATTTTTTCATTTCAATTCAAGAGTTCTTATGTGTTTCCATTTGAAACTCCAAAAAATGGACAAATTCCTTCAGTTTTATCATTTAATTCTTAATCAATTTATTCTTTTTTTATTTTTAGTCATATTTTCAATCATAGTGGACTTATATATTAATTTAATATTGTCACATTATTATTATATTGTATTGTAGTTGGTAAATCCTTTCAATCATTATATATTATACTCTCTCCGTTCAAAAATGTAAGGCATTTTTTGAGGAGTTGAATGTTAAAAAATGTAAGATATTTTTAGTTTTTCGAGATATAATCATTGCCTTTTTTCAAAAGTGTCTCTATTGATAATGACTTTATATTTATTGCAGGGTGTTTAATATAGGTAAATATAAAAAGATAGGGTTAGTTAAAAAATAAGTAATTACTTTATTGAGAGGCAAGATTTAATTAAAAATGCCTTATATTTTTGAACAGATGGAGTAAGTGATAAATCAGGTTATGTATTGTATATTATAACAATTTTAAAGTATATTTGAAAAGTTTAAAACTAAAATAAGAGCATATTTAAAAGGCTTACTTTTAAGTAATTTTTTAAATAAACTTTCAAGTCAAGCTAGGTTAAGCTTGAGGTAAGTTTAAGTTTGAGCCACAAAAAAGTCCTATACAAGTTTCAAGTTAGGCTCAAGCCTCTAATTTATTACATAGATTCAGACTTATTTAACTAAAATTTAACTCGGCCTAGCCTCTTTTCATTCTTAAAAATTTGTTATCCTCTAATAGCAGTTGGCCGAAAAAAAAAACGATCTTCCATAGTTTTCTGTTGTCTTTATCTTTGGTCCCTCAGTTCCTAAGTGAAAGCTTTTTAATTTTTAAAATCTTATGCTATCAATTTATCAAATTCTTCCATATTTAACTTTTCTCACCCGAAAGAAGAAAAATATAAATTTGATGAGGTGTCGCTCAAGTGTTGCATGTGAAAGAAAAGGCAATGCACCATACATAGATCTCAATTACTAAATAATTTATTAGCACAATATTTGGTACGTAAAATATTAGAATGGAATGATATGCAAAACATAATTTTATAGGTAAATTGTCATTTGTGTCTCTTATTAAAAAAAAAATATAAAAACAGTTATAGTTATTTTTTTTGTTTGAAAGAACAAGTAAACTTCATTAAAACGATGGAAAATGATAACAACACAAAAACTCAAGAAGAATAATAACACTATTATTCTCTTAGGCCAACTACGCTAAAAACAACACAAAAATTCAAAACTAAATATAAATAAAGTTTGGCTCAAACGGGATAAACTTACAACACAAAAACAAAAATGAAATACAACACCAAAATTAAAAAACAATTACAAAAACCAATGGAGGTTGGACCTAAAGCGGAAAGAATCAGTCATTCATAACGTGACACACTAATATTCAAATCCTTATTGAGAGAGATAATACCTAATCATATCTTGAATATGATTGTTTTTAATAAAAAGATACCTCTAAACAATTAAAAAAAAATAATAAAAATGACAACAATGAGGGAAAAAATGTCTGAATGATATACCTCAAATTCAAGATTTTTTTTTAAAAGAAACAAAATGGATAGTCACATCTAAAGCCTAAGGGCCTTTAGATCAATGTTTCAAAAACTGCACTAGATGATGAATCAAAAAAGTTGGTAAGTCACAATTCTTATGATTTGATTGGTTAAACTAATATTTGAATTCTCTGACATAATAATTAAATAAAAATAATAATATTTAAATAAAAAATGGAACAAAACAATCCAATCGTTCTGAGTTCTAAGGTTTTTCGCCAAGTTTTTAAGAAATGCCCAAGGTCAAAGTAGGTCAATTTGAGTCAATTGCCATAACGGGCCAAATTGTTGAATCAAAACGCTTTCTTTTTTGGCTGATACTCAGATCAATTCGATTGTACAAGGTGATTTGGGTCTGAAAACAATGCTCCAGGCACATTGGATTACTTAAAGAAGATGTCATGTTGAACTTACTTCTACATTTGTGTGTGTGGTGTCTACTCGAGACTAGCAAGACTAAGGATGAAATTACTTGAACTGAATAATATAATTACAAAAGCATCTTTGATAAACCTTTTAGAAAACTCTAATCAAACGATCGGGATTGAATTTAACAAAAAAGACTAATATCTTATAATATGATGAATTAGTATTTAAATTTTCATTTTAAAAAAATACCTACATTTATTGTTTGATTATATCTCAAACATATGTACTTGATAAACAAAGAAAGAAAGAAAACTCTAATCATACTCCCACCCCCTAACAACGATTTAAAGTTCCAGCCACTATTGCGCACTGAGCTCTCCAATCTTTTTCTCCAATGCATCAAGATGTGTTTTTTTGTTCTCACATATATTTCATACTTTTTTTTTTTGATGAAACATCTATTTCATACTTTATTAACGTTTGCTTGTCTCTGTTTTTTTTCCCTTTAATTTTTTTCTTTGCATGGAACTTGTGTGGTGCTTTTTTTTCCCATTTTAAATTTAATTAGTCTCTACTGTGTAAGCTTCTCACCAATTTATTATTATGAATAAATTTTATATAATGTGGCTATGAATACTATTTGTTGAAGATGTTCTTGCCAAATTATTACGTATGATGAGAAAGTATTTTTTGGGAAAAAAATATTCATTCTTCTTCCTAAATTAGCCTAAAACGGTAATATTGCGAAAAAAAAGAAGTCTATTTATTACCCATAAGACACCTATCTATCTATCTATATATATATATATATATATATATATATAATATGGGTAGATAATAAGCCTATTCATCCATCCATTTTATAATAATTTTTAAATAATGTCTAGTTGTTTCCCATAAGACTCCCAAATAATGAAGCGTATAATGAAATAAATGTTTCATTATTTTCTATTCTTTTCCATTTATTATATATTTCATCCCACACTCTCGTGCCAATTTATTATTAATTATCCTAAACTCTCACCTATATATTTGTATGCGTCCATTTCAATAAGATGGAGTGATTTTATTTTCTAGGGTTTTAGATTTATTTTTTCTGGCCCAATATAGGGTTATTGTAGATCGAATGGACCTTCTTGTTCTATTAACTTTTTAAAACACATAATTAAATTTTTGAGAGAATTAAAAATAAGTTCTAAGTAAGAAAATTAATTATTTTCTAAGTCTCATTTATCAGTCAAATTTCTGCATCTATATGTCAAATTTTTGTATTTATAAGTGGCCAGGATATGTGAGTAATTATTTTTCTTATTTAGCTCCTTAAATTTTTTGGCCGTGATGTATTATTTGAATATATATAATGTGACAATTTCTTTCATTAATGAAGATACCTTTTTAGGACCTCAGTTAATTTTCCTCTTTAATTTAATTTGGTAAAAAAAAAAGGTTATATTACTTAATGTAGAGATCCATGAATCCAAAACAATTTTCCTTGAGCCACCCTAAAAGGGTTTTTTCCCCCTTCCAAATAAAATTAGTTAGTCTCTAAAATTTGGACATAAAATGTTTCAATGATTGATCTTCGTTATTTTTTTGGCTGATAATATATGAGAATGATTTGGATGGTGAATTTCATTTGAGTGTATAAAACCCCTTAAAAATAAATTAAATAAATTAGTTTCCGTTTCAAAGTGTAGTCGAAAATTACATATTGTTTTAAACCTTTGATCTGAAAATTTTAAATTTCATTTTATTTTTCATTTTCAATGTCTTTCATTTTAAAAATTATAAAAAATAAAATAACTTTAAAAAATTAAAATTTGAATTAATTAAATTAAATATGAAGTCACTATTTGTGTGTTATTTATAACAGCCTAAAAAGATATGCCTAAACTATGATCTTGTTAAGTTGTATGGAACTTGTTTCTCTTAAGTTTTTTTTTTTTAAACCTTCAAATAATGTGAGTTTAATTTTTTTGACCAGACTGTAATAGTGTTTAAGTCTTGTAAATAGGAAAAACTTCCACTCAAAAGTTTTATATTGTTGTAGTCTAACCTGACTGGATCTAGGATTCAATATAATTAACTTTCATAAATTGTTTATTAGATATAAATTATTTATTTATATCCAATTAAATCATAATGAGTGAATTTTAATGTGTTAATTAAATTAATAATAAGAATATATTATAAAATAAATAATCTATAAAATATCTACATATTCTGATTTAATTAAAAAAAGAACATTAAGTATGTAAGATTAAGGATATACATTTTCTCCTTTTGTTATTACAAGGCTTTGCATGTTTTCTTTTCTTTTTTATTATTATTTTTTGCAAGACATAAAGGAACATGGTCCATTTACGTGCGATCTCCTTTAAAATATATACGTAAGTTATGATTCCAACTTCTAACTGCTTGCATAATTGACCCGAGAAATTCTACCACCCATTCTAATTTGTGACAGAGAAATATATTGCATAGATTAATTTGGTGTATCACATCATATACGCTTCATCTAATAAATTTGTATTAATTCAAGCTAATAAAATCTTATGTGTTATTATTAATATTTTCATAATGACATACTACCTATTTGGTTTTTTTTTTTGACACTTTCTTTCTCTTTACTATCATTACTGACACAATCATTTTATATTGATGACAGTTTGAATTGAATGATTTTATTAGATGAAACATGGATGATGTGATGCATCAAATCCATGCAAAAATATCTCTTTAAGACAAACTAATGAAATTAATATAATCAATGCCTCTAAAACATTGTTCTATAGCTTAACTAAAAATCTCGAGTTTAAGTTTTGAAAATATAATAATGTCAATGGCTAGGGACACTCATCATTGTGGTGCTTATCATGCCTTGATCAAGATTAGTTGGGCCATGTCCCTTAAAAAAAAGGACTTGAATTTTAAAGTTTTAAGTTAATATATGATATCCTTGTACTAATCTTCACCAGTTTGTCCTCTCCCTTCTTTTGATAAAATATGTTGAACTTACTTATAAGTGAGATGAGGGCAAGTAAATTGAAACATAAAAAAAAAATGCCCTTATAACAATAAATGGAGAGAATATGGGGGAAAAAAATCTGCTTTTAAATTTATGCTGGAGGTCCACATTTATTTCTTTCTAAAATTAACACGACATAAAACAACTGAATAAATTAAAAAGTGTCTAAATTAAGCAAACTAAATTAATTGAGGGAAACGCAAGCACCAAAAACCAAAAGAGGGATAAAGAGTAAAAAGTAGTCCAAAACGCTTCTCATTACGTGGCACACTTCTTGAGATTTATTTAGTATACTTTTAATTAATTATTAATTAATGAATTAATTAGTAATATCTTGTACAATAAATTGGCATGAATAGCCCAAAAGTTAACATTAAGAGTCAACTCTGACATTTATATATACACAGACAGCTAACCACTAAGAGCTTATAAATCATCTCTCTCTTCCCTGCAACTCTAGAGAGAGAGAGAGATGGGTAGTGAAGGAAGAAGAAGCAGTTTGGTTGTGGGGTTGATTGGCCTCATTTGGCTGTTATCGCCATTATTATTATTATCGGAATGTACAGTGGAGAGTACTGAAGAAGTTGAAGTTCTTCATCGTCATCGTCATCATCATTATCAATCTGCAAGTTCTTCATCATCAACTTCATCATCGTCGTCGTCGTCCTCAACATGCGATAGGTACGAAGGAGAATGGGTGAAGGATGAGTCGTATCCTCTGTACGACTCGTGGAAGTGTCCTCACATTCGCAAAGAGTTCGACTGCTTCAGCTACGGCCGTCCCGATCGTCTGTATCTCAGTTTCCGGTGGAAACCCACCGGCTGCGACTTGCCCAGGTATTTAGCTTCCATTAACCACAAGAAGAATCAAAACTCTCTGTTTCGCTGTTTCTTTCTTCTTTCTCTTTATCTTCTCTTTTGTTTCTTTTTATTTATTTATTTATTGTTCACCTGAATGCGTCTTAAAAAAAGTTTCTGAAAGATGTTTTTGCTTTTTAATTATTCTGAAAGCATTTCCAAATAAAAAATTGTTTTCAAATGATTGCACATTGCGGAAATATCAAACAAGACAGCTCGAATAAATTTATTTCAGTTAATAATTATTTATTATTAAAATTTAAATAAATACTTATTAATTCAAGTTAACTTTTTATCAATATATATTTATTTAAATTTTAATAATAATTTATTTTAAATTAATAATAATTTATTCAAACTTATTTCATTCAAGTTTTAATAACAATTAGTTCTTAACTTATATAAATTTGATTTGTTATAAAACAGCCTTTAGTGTATATAGGTTTTTTTTTTATTTAGAGTTTTAATCTAGACACAGTTCATATGTAATTCTCAGTCCATTCCTTTTTTTTTTAAATTGAAATTTAATTTTACTTTATGCTAATTGCTATGCTGGAAGTCTAATTAATTGTCCAAAATGTCAAAGAAAAGTATTATGATAAGAGACACATTGTCTTTGGACGATAAATTATGATATGATTATTAAAAAAAGTTCAAAATTGTATATTATTACTATATTCAAAAGCTGTTATAATTGAAAATTAAAAAAAAAAGAAGCAGAGAAGTTGAAGACAATTAATAATTTTTTTTTTCGACCACAGTACGACAGAGATTGGTTAGTTGGCACTAGGTATTCCAAATTCATATCATGTGAACCCCAATTTTTTCATAGTTTGGTGACATAATCAATAATAGCATGTGATACCTTCAACTAATAATGAACAACCATTAATTAATATAAAAAATATAAGTTTAATTTAATAATTTAATAAATAGAACAGCTTTTTTGGGGTTGTCTGTCCGTGACAAAAAAGATTTCTGCTGCGGACTTCCTTTGGTTGTATCACGTGTCCGGCTTTATTTGCTACAGGGACCATCAAGATTAGGTTCACACTTCACATGATTTCCCAACATTCTCACAACTCACATATTTTGATGTGTGTTGCTTGTGTGACACAACATTCCAAAGTCTAATCTTGGAACAAAATTAAATGACTATTGATTGATGGGCCCCAAACCAACTGGAGATTTCCTGCTACCATCCAAACACAATTGCACAAAAGTCAGATTGTGTTGTGTGCTTGTTGTGTTAAAATTTTAAGGGTAACAAGGTAATTTTCTCCTTCAATTACATGGTGAGAATATTTGAGACCTTAAACTTCTTTTGGTATAATCTTACCTTTTAACTTTTAGAAACATCACAATGTGCCTCTTCCTGTTAGTTATGGGAAGAGCTTGTTAGTTTAGTATTATATTCATTTAGTTTTATTTATAAAACATAAAGAGAAGAAAAAATTTAATCCTATTTATAGCTTGCTCATCAATTTCTAATACTTCTCTTTACATTTTTGCTCTTATTAAATACTTTGAATAAAAATACCAGTAATAAAATTTAAGAATATTTATTAGGAACAAAAATGAAAACTTCTTAAATTTTAAAACAAAGTTAATGAGTTTTAAAATTTTTATTAATTTTAATGAAATATGTTAGAATAACTTATAAATAAAACTAAAGAGTAGGGCTTGTACTTTTTTCTCATGTTATTTGATAATCGATGTTATTGTTAAAAAAAAAAGGATGTTAGATGCTCTTAGTTCTATAATTTAAACGATAAATTACTCTTATATCTAAATTTTAAATATATTGCACGAATCTTTTGAAAATTTAGAATTTCAAAATTATTGTTTCCCTTTAAAACTTAATAATGAATTATTTGAACTTTTAAATTTACATAGGTAATATTAGATACAAGCCACATATACTATGCACAAAATTAAAAAAAAAATGAATTGCATTACTTATAACTTATAAATAATGGGTCATATTATAAATTTTAAATTAATTTATCTAGCTAGTATGTTATTTGAATATATTTTAAACTAATATTTTGTACATATACCTTGCATAGAATCCGAGACAAGCAGTCATGTTAGTGATTTAGAAATAGTGTGATTTCCTATAGATTTTTTTTATATAAAACTTTATAAACTTTAAGAAAATTGTTGTATTTTAAACGTCAAATATTATCTGCAAATATTCAAAAAAAAAAAAAACGGTGCAATTTAAGTCAAATTAGGTAAGATTGGTAGAGTTTGTTTATGTGATGCTCATAAAAACTTCCAATATATACACATATTGATGAGTCACGACCAACCTAATTGCCTCGTTTCAAATAGCACATAACTAAAAAACCATTTTTGTCAATACTGTTACTTATCTTGAGACGTGAACAACTTGTACAACTAATGAATGACAACAACTTCTATCTTTTATCTTCACATCTTGAACAGAACTAAACTGTGGTCCTCATGCTTGATCCTTCTGAGTCTCTTGCTATTCATTACTTGTGAATTTATTTTATGTATTAAAAATTTATAGACCAATGAGATCCTGTAGATGCATTTAATAACTGTCCTGAATTCTACCCCAACCCAAAATAATTTTATTAACTAGAAGACCTCTGGCTTCAACTTGTAGTCAGGAACTAGCTAACATGCGTTGGTTTTAGTAGAAAGGGTTATGATTGTTTAAGCACAAGGTCTAGAATTCAAGTCTATGTGAATGCAAAAAATGCCTTTGAGAGAGCTACTTCCAATTGATTTTGCAATGCTCAAATATGACTCAGCCATTTATATATATATATATATATATAAACCTCGTAATCAGGAATCTATGGAAAATTTGAATAAAATGTAGACTTATTAGAGATAAATCAGTATTTTATTTGCTAACTTAGAATGATGATTTTGCAGATTTGATGGGAAAAGCTTCTTGGAGCAAATGAAGGGGAAGAACATAATGTTCATTGGTGACTCTCTGAGTCTAAACCAGTGGCAATCGCTAGTGTGCTTGCTTCATTCTGCAGTACCTCAATCTGCAACACTCCAACAGACCATTGAACCTATCACTAATATTACATTCCAGGTCTCTAAGCTATTTCCATGTTTACAGTGTCAATTCTATGAACTTCCTTTTATATTTTCAAAAAGAACTATAAAATCTCAGAATTGCAGCATATTCGTGAATCAGAATTGTCTTTAACTATGCTTGTCGGTAAGAGGTTTTTCTTGTGTTAAAATTTCAAGCAACTGAGGCATCTACTGCAGGAATATGGAGTTTCTGTGAGTGTATTTCATTCTCTATACTTGGTTGACATTGAAGAGGAAAAGATTGGTAGAGTTTTGAAGCTTGACTCGCTCAAGAATGCAGAACTATGGAAGAATATGGACATTTTGGTTTTCAACACTTGGCACTGGTGGTACCGTAGAGGACCAAAGCAACCGTAAGATTCTACAAATTCCCATATAACTAATACTCTCTTCAGTCCTTATTATAAAGCACCCCTAATTACTTTCTTGGAACCAGAAAGAAGTGGTTAAGTTATTAACTTTGTCTGAAAATAGAATAAACTTCCAATTCTACCCTTATTTAAATGAAAAAAAAAATTAAATTTGCATCACATTCTCTCTCATAGTTAATGAGTTTAAATACAAGTAATATTGAAAGAACATAATTAATATCTCATCAAGTACCTTATATTAAAGATCAGAGAATTTTTCTACAATGTACCCTGTAATAAGGACCAGAGGGAGTACACCATAAGATTTTGGCTGCTACAAGGGTTTGAGTACAAGGAACATCTCTCATTATCAACTTGAGTTTGATTTTGTTACTGGGTTCTTAGAAAAAAGTAAAAGAAAATTTCAATTAGACCCGACTGATAAATATATAACTCAAGTTTCGGGAGAAGTTGAAAAGAAAAAGACACAATCTATGTCAGCATGTAAAACTAAGAATCATATGGTAATTATCTGATGCAGATGGGATTACATTCAAGTGGATGGCAAGATACTCAAGGACATGGATCGTATGGCTGCATTTCAGAAGGGTCTGACAACTTGGGCTAATTGGGTGAATGCAGAGGTAGATGCAACCAAAACCAAGGTTCTTTATCAAGGAGTTTCACCTTCTCATTACAAGTAAGTTTCAAACTATGTCTTATCATGAGCCTAATTCGGAGCTGCAAGATCAATTTCAAGCAACATGCTAACTTGACTTTTGCTTAATATGTGACACATAATATAGTGGATCAGCGTGGAATCATCCAGAAGAGACAAACTGTGCAAAGGAAACAGAACCAATGAGTGGATCAACTTACCCCGGTGGTTTGCCTCCAGCAGCATACGTAGTGATGGATGTCTTGAAGGAAATAACAAAACCTGTTCATCTGCTTAACATAACAACTCTGTCACAGCTAAGAAAAGATGCACACCCCAGTTCTTACAATGGATTCAAAGGCATGGATTGTACCCATTGGTGTGTAGCAGGGCTGACAGATATCTGGAACGAGCTGCTTTTTGCAGCTATCACCAATTCAAAGTGAAGACAAATTATTTGAGGGAGAATAGGGATAACTATACAGACAGAGGATAGTCAAATTTATTTACTGTTAGTCTCCAAAGCATAGAATACACACTGAGTGATCATGGATAATTTTTGGCTTGTAGATGTTTCATATTGCGGGGGCAGTAAAATACAAGAACAATTATTCTTGTGACAATTCAATCTCAATAAACTGAGAAAGTTGAAGCATGAATTTATGTGTTATAGCAGTTGTATATCATATTATCCCATTCAAAATATTATCTCATCATTGTTCTATACATTAATGAGAGACCGTATAAACAGATGTTTGACACGGATTACAGTATAACATGTACCCATAGATGAGATTTGATACTAAGGTCTAAGGGGAGCTACTTATCTAAAGCTACAAAATAGAAAACTATTTGCATGGTACACATAAAAAAGACTTCAATCATCTAGAAGACGCAGATCATACTTTCGTGCCAAACGTCGGGCATTTCCATCAGCCATAATGCTTTCAATTTTCTTTAACTTATCATAGTGTCCCTTCAGTGTGGCTGTCTGCTGGTTCTGAAGCTTCTCCTCTTCTTGTAGTTGCAGCTACAAAATGAAACTGGCTTTAGAATATTCAGTTTCTCACTATAGATATTTTGAATTCACAATTTATAACAGTTATTATCCAGCCATAGGTTAAAGAATCTCTTCGACATTGCAGAAAGGGGTATTGCAGGTCTTTTGAGGTCCAGTCCTCCTAATCAATGATTTAGTCTCCTTCAGCCAAAAACAACAAAATGTGTATGGCTACATATAAACTTAACACAATGTGTTCTTTATTAAATGAGTAGTATGAACTCTTCATTCTTCAACTCTCATACAGGTATGTTTCTCAATCACTCATATTCTCTCATCAGGGGGAAGATGGGGTTCGAGGGAATATATTTGAAATTATTTGAAACACAAGTTACAAGTCTCCCAATTAGAGACTGAAAGACCATAGGAACTAAAGATAATAGCAGTCATCACAAAGTGACAGAAGTCAATGTCAGTGGTTTCTTGTTTTGAGATCTTCCAGACAATGTCAACCATTGTATCGCTCAACTTCATATAATTTTAAATTCCCCATGTAACAAGGATACAAAGGTATAAAAACTTCGTTTCTCTTTGATAATTCTTTCCATCCCAGAATTATTACTGCTTCCAATTTTTGCACCTGAGATTTTATATCGTGTCAATTTCACTCTAAATGTCCAATATAAAACATTAGCAGGGTTGAGTTAAATTAATGTAACTGCCATAAAAATCACGTTCCTGCACCATCTCTAGTGATAGTTCCCACAAACTCGCCAGTTAAGAGTTGTTGCTGAAAACTCCCAAGACAAGGAAAATACTGAAACAAAGTGGACACTTCGAGCATAATATATTAGTGTCAATGCTAGTGAGAATTTAGATACTCTTGACATTTACTCCCGTAAGCCAATTCTGCTAATGCCCGAATTAGTTATATCACAACAGTAATAAGAACTATAAATATGATTAATTACTGGGTTAAATATTTGATGAGTAAAGAGGAATGAACTCACTTCCATAAGGCGTGCAGCTTCAGCAGTATGTTTGTGTGTAAGTCGCTTCAGTTCCTGTACCACCTTAAAATCAGGGTCATCAGGCTCCAACCATTGGCAGTCTATCTTTCTTCCAGGCTTCTTGGGGCGATCATCAAACATTTCCACTTCAGCTTGGCGCACCCTTACAGGCCTTGGCATCCCACACATCATGAAAGGATTTTGTGATAACACTGATATAACTTCTTTGGCCTTAGTAGCAGAGTCCAATTCCACTAATGCACATATTGGCATGTTCCTTGGTTCATTGTAGTTGCGAATAAGCTTGACACTTTCTACAGTTGCAAACTGATCAATGCCAGCTATCAACACAGATTCAGTAACTTGTGGTGACAGGTTGTCAAAGTAAACTGTCCGTTCAACCTTCTCTAGGAATGCAGCATATTCTTCTTCTGCTGAAGACCCCATGTATCACAGTGAAAGAAACCTGAGAACAACCACTACAACAGAATTATTTTCTTGATATCCTGTAAACAAGCCATTAGCAATGCAAGTTTCATATCAGATGCAGGTTAGCTCATAGGTGTCCATTAGCAGATTTAGATTTCTCTTTTATTCCATATCAGCAAAAGACATAACCCAAAAAAAAAAAAAAACATTTAAATCATCATGGTGTGAAACAAATTATTTATCCTACTGTCGGAAGTACAACTAGGCAAGTAATGGGCAGATCAACCCAACCATATAGAAAAATTGATCTATACAATAAATCTTCTTCCACTGCTCAATAAGTTAAATAAGAATAAGCAACCTATGATATGGTTTAAGATTTTAATCACACATATATGTACGGACACAAAAAATTTTCCACCATAAACTTCAAAAGCACATAAATCATAGGTCACTTGGGGCTCCGTTCCTTTTTTCCCAGTTTTGTTGTTTTGTTTTTCTTCCATCCTCTCTCGTGTCCAAGCATGACATGTGAGCCCGCCTAGTTACTGATTTTGTTCTCATGTTTCTAGACATTACATTTTTTCCCTTTACGTTATAAGTTAAAATTTAATGAAACCCGAAGGCCAGAAGAAATGTAACAGCAGAACGTTAATAATTCAACCTCGAACGCTGACATATGTCACATAAAAAAACTGAATAGTATGGGTCGGATAGCTAGCCGTCATCAACATACAGAATCTCTTTATTCAATTGAAGCATTCGTTCATTCACACCTGGGCCCAAGTTACAGCTTACTGGCAGGTCAATTCAAACAAACTCTATTATGCAATAGTCCAGATACATTTAATAGTCTAGCTAAGTGATTAGAGAATTTTGTTTCGATTCCTTTCACTTGTCACTAATGACATTGAGCGCATTCTTGTGCTGCGCAACCATTTTTCACACGAAGATTCTCGAGGGGAAAAAATTGCAGTCAAGAGCGTGCGGGACCACTGGGCAATCACAAGAACAGACAAAGAAGAAATAAAAGCAAAATAGAATGTGAAACTAACACGGTAAGAACAAGAAAGAACAGACAAGGGTAAAACCGAAAAAGATAAGAGTTCCGATTTGGCTGCGACCCGGGGGGGGGGATAAAGCAAACAAATGTAAGAAATGGACAAGAGAGAGTGAAAAACGGAGCCGACAAGAGAGAAAGCGAAGGACGAAGCAAGAAAGAGCAAAAGAAGGAAATAGGTATGGAGGAATATATGTAATGAGCTGAGCATGCCTTCGGGAAGTTAAGGGGTTTTGTTGAGCGAGATATTACCAAACATAGAAAAGAAAACTTCACCGGAAAGTGAACGTCGGTGAGGAATTCGCCGGCGTCCCGGGAAGGCAGCCACCTGGTTCTGTGGATGGGCCCCCCTTGCAGAATCTTCTTGAAGCGACGGTTATTCCGAAAAGACGTGGTCCCGGGGACTTGGATGTCTTTTTCGGATTTTCAATTTCTTGAAAGAAGAATGACGTAAAAATATTTTAAAATATATAAATGATAATTAAATATTACAAAATAAAAAAAATTATTCTCTAGTTTTTGGGACTTGTTTGTAGGAGTGGGAATTAAGCTTAGCCCACTTTAAACCTAACTCAATTTATTTACTAAATAATATCAATAAAATTCAAGCCTTCAATTAAGTTTATTAATTAAATATGTTGAATTTTTTTAAAACTTAACCTATAGATCTAACAGATCGACCTACATACATACATATATACATGCATGTATGCATGCATACGTGCGTGCGCATTATTTAATATATCACAAATCATTGCTTCATCATTTGATTTTTAGTTATATTTTCAATTATATTGGATATATATATTAATTTTAATTTAATATTGTTACTTTGTTATTATATTATATTATAATTGATAAGTCCTTTCAATTATTATATATTATAATTGATAAATCATATTATATATTGTATATTATAATAGTCCTAAAGTACATTCAAGACGTTTAAAACTAAAATGCAAGCCTATTTAAAAGGCCTACTTTTAAGTAGGTTTTTAAATAGATTTTTAAACCATATCAAGCTTTAAGTAGGCTTCGGTCTGAGCTGTAAAAAAAAAAAGCCTTATATAGCCTCCAGGCTAAGCTCAGGCCTTTGATTTATCATACTGGCTCAAGCTCATTTGGCCAAAGTCTAACTCGATCTAGCTTGTTTTCTTCCCTACTTGTTTGTAAATTAGTTTTAATGTGAAAATACTTTTCTACCCTTTTGAAAAATCGAAGAAAGGTATCTATTAGAACTTATAATGTTGTTCCATTTTACTCATTTTTCAAAGGAAAGCAATAATTGATGTTTAATTGTTGAATATCACTGATAAAAAATTGCACAAATCAACTTGTAATTTGTGATTTTATTTTTTGTTACTTTTCAAGAAAACTAGTTAATTCCTCACAAAAAGTAGTAATTGAATTTTAGTTGTTGGATTTCACTAATATAAAAAAAATTACATAGAACAACTTGTAATTTGCTATTCAATTCTAGTCATTTTTGAAAAGAATGTAAAAAATGATTTTTAGTTGTAGGACTACGCTACTTAAAAAAACTTGTACACAGAAACTTTTAATATGCTATTTCATTCTAGTCATTTCTCTAAAAAAATCAGTAATTTTTCAAAAGAAAGTAGTAATTTATTTTTAGTTATTTGATTAAAAAATTTCATAAAGTAACTTGAAATTTACTATTCCTTTATACATCATTGAATTTTGAGGCGTAAGTTGTTGGCAGTAGCGAGTAAAATCATAATTTGAGTCATACATAATGACACTATTCTTAAGAGTTATTTTGCCACACTGAATTGATCCGCAACAGTCCCCCAAGATTAAGCAGACTCTTTCTAGAAAAAGCAAGAGTCACAAAACAACAAAAATTCTTACAATAAACTTAGATTATACCAGCACTAACAAAGCAATGTGATAGAGGAAAAGAGAGAGCTCATCTCAGAGGCTCATACAAAACATATGATAAGTACTACCTTTTATAGACAAATATCTTTAAAAATTGGGCAATAAAAACACATTAAACACAATTAAAAGATAATTTCATATAATAATGGGGGTATAATATATATGTTACAACAAAAATTGATTTAAATAGTATTTTCATATCATTAAATTATAATAATTTCTTTTGAAATATTCATAAATATTTAATAATATCCAACAATCTCCCACATATTTAAAAAAGAAGGAAGTTTTTTTGAAAAACTATCTTATGCAAATAATTTTGTATCTCCACAAAATAGTTTTCAAAATTTTAAAAAATTGCTTAGTATCACATCTAATTTATGTGCAATTGTATGCAAGAGTCTATTTCTCATTTAAGCCCATTTACTAGCCCAAGTTCACATCTTGATGTCTATGCACTAAGGTCTCTATTCATTTGAACAACATGGGACTTTTCTTTTTGACACAATTACAACAATCCCCATATGTCTCAAAAGAATTGCTATCATGTGAGTTATTCACATAGAGGATAACCACTTCGAATATGGTGTTTTTCAATTTGAACGAGATCTAGATCAATAAAATTTAGCACACAAAATAGTTAGTGTAACTTCGTTATTGAACCAACAGATCTTGAGCATGTACTAGAGGTTTTATTAGTCTGATTATACCCTTACAATTTGTGATGCTAATAGCGGTTTTGCGTGTTATCAATAGTGTGCTTGGCTAGTTTTGATAAATGCTTTAGAGATTTTGCTACAATCTCATAGGAACCACTTCGAATATGGTGTTTTTCAACTTGAACTAAACCTAAATTAATAAAACTTAGCACACAAAAGAGTTAGTGCAACTTCATTGTTGAATCAACAGATCTTAAGCATGTACTAGAGGTCTTATTAGTCTGATTATACCCCCATAATTTTTGATGCTAACAGCAATTTTGTGTGTTATTGATAGTGTGCTTGCCTAGTTTTAACAAATGCTCTAGAGATTTTACCACAATTTCATAGGAGTAGCCTTATTCCATATTCGTATAGGTGTTTTCATTAAGTATACCTGCAATGAAAACACAATCTATAAGGATAGTGAAAACATTAGGAGATTTTTCTTAGCCATCGATCAATGTATTCTATCACTTGCTAAAGCTATAGGAAGGGACATAAATATTTAATGTTAGCAGAACTAACAAGTGACTTGTTTTTACTCATTGAACTTTCTTCATGAGATCTCCAATCATAAAGGCTAGGCTCTCATCACCGTTAATTTCAAATTGGCCTAAGTCCTATTCCTCTCAACATTTTAATAACTAATTTCTTCCCCAAGGGCTAGTTAGTAGATTCATTATATTTACATTTAATCTTACATAACTGATTAAGGTAACTCTGTAACATTCAAAAATTTTTAACCCTAATTTATTAACCTAATAAGGGTAGCTAGCGAGTTAATGAAGTATGTGGCCAGAGGGGCTTAACTTGGGATAATTGTTATGATTTCAGCTGTAACATCCCGAAATTTTAAGACTCGAATTTATTTTAAAAATAAAATAAAATATCTAAAATTAAATTAAAATTTAAAATAATTTGATATAGGTCTAGAGTTTAAATTTTTCTTAGCAGAAGTTTGGTTTTATTTGATTTTTAACTATGGAAAAAATTATCAAAGTTGACCCGGGCTTTTGTGCTATAGTAAAAAATATTGGCTCATTTCTTGAAATTTTCTCCAAAGTATTAGATCAGCAATTTAAAGACCAAAATAATGCAGAAACGCAGAAATGAAACAAGGAAAGAAAACGCATGAGAGAGAGAGAGAGAGAGAAAGAAGAGAGGAGAAAGAGAAAGAGTTAGGCTTAGATCCAGGAGGCTTTACAACCGTTACAAGCTCGGCTATACAATAGACAAACTCTCTACTTCAATCCTCTTCTTTTCCTCTTGATTTTCTTCAATTTTTGGAAGAGAAAATTTTTAAATTTTGATCCTAAAGGCTTTATTCTTGTAAGCTTTAGTTTCTTTGGGTCCTTGGGAGATTGTTTTGAGTTTTTATATGGTGATCTAATGTTTTGAGTGGATAATTAGATGAAAAGAGGTGTTTTGGGCACAAATTAAACCTTGAGAGATTGGGTTTTGCTCCTCAATGATTTAAGTCTATTGATTTAGTTATAATTTTACTATTTAAGCCTAATAAGATTTAAATTAAGGTTTGGTTTTCATTATAAGGGCTAATAGTGAAAGTTGGTGACACTAAGTGAAGGTTTTTAATTGATTAAAAATTATATGAATTGGAAATTAGCCTAGTGATGGCTAATAAATGGTTTTGGTGGTTAAGTAATACTATGTGAATGGTTGGTTTAATATATGGACCATTAGGATGGATTATGACTCACTGACCTAAGTTGTGTGGTATGAGTTATAGTCTTCATTAATGCTATTTGTCATGATAAGTGATATGGATCACTTATATGTTGTAGGAATTGTTGGTGGAAGTTATTGAGAAGTTAAGGACAAGCCAAGTCCTATTTTGTACAAGAGGAACCCTTTTGGCACTAAAGGGTTGAGGTAATAGGGAAATTTATATTTTTTATCACTTTATTTAGCTATTTTTGAGTAGAAAATATTATTTAGCATGCATTACATGTTTTAAACAATTGTATGGAAATAAAATATGTTTTAGAAGGGTTTATGGGGTATTGCTTTAATAATAATGCATTTATATTTACTATCTATTTATTAATGATGTTACTTATGGAAATAAGATTATTAGTATGCATTATGATCATAAAAAAAATGAGGAGTTGCACTTAGGGAAGTGTAACTAAGTTTAGTACCTTAGATAGGTAAGGAACGGCTTAAAAGATGAATTATGAGTGTTATACTACCTTGAGTGTTGAAGTGGTCAATACTCGAGAAAGGTAGAAAAGAGTGGAGGCATGATCTCGGTGGGAGTTCACCAATGGGGAGATGCGGTCTTGTAATATTCTATGGCTCACTGTTAGTACTTAGTGTTGCCTGTCATATTGTGGGCTCAGTACACTAAAATAGTTAGTGGATTGAGTGTTCGACACCTCTGAGTAGGAGAGGAAATTCGGCATATGAAATGTGAGGTTGAGTGCCTAGGCCAAGGCAGCGCTCACATGGAGAGTAAGTCGGCCTAGCTCTAGGAGGGAGTTAGCTTTGACTGCTCAGGATTCACGTCGAAGGGGCACATGCGGTTCGGTGGATCAGATCATGCCTTAGTTTATATATTGTGCCTATGGAGGTACAGTGGGTACAAGGTTGACCTGCAAGCTAAAGAGTGCCAAAGGGCATTTTGTTGGTCAGGAAAGGCTATATCGACCTATTTCTTGCATTCAAGCATTTTAATTGATTAATTATATGTTATTTTGAATCTATTATTTATATTCTTGACTATGGCTTTCCTTGTAATAAGGAATATCATTTTTTCTGTTACT